ATCCTTCAAACTTCCAACTGACGTTCAAGAACAAGTAAGTAGTTCATACATTGTTAAAATGTGCATTCATGTAATTCAATTAGATTATACATAGTATTTCAGCTCATAAGTTTCAAAGTTAATTTTGCACTTTTCACAACACGGCTGCCTCGCAAATGTTAAAGAATATAATAAAATCACAAAGTTTTCTCGGATACTTCGATAATTAAACGTTAGAACTTAATTCTGAAAAAAATTGCATTTTTACATCGGTTACGGCGGGGCACAAAGGTCCAATTTGACTTTTGGCAATTATACTGTAAAAACCAAAATAACTACATCAAAATACCTATCTAATTCATGATTGTACAATTGAGTTTTTTTTTCATTTTGTCAAAAATTTGTCATCTGGTCTTTTTTACCCCATAGGCAGGGTATAATGACACAGCCAGTGGGCAAGCAGATTCAATGCCTTATTATTAATTTTAAAGAGATTTTGCAAAGTACATTATTAATCCCATGCAAAATATAAATTTCTTGGGCACATTTTTAACAAGGAACAACACTGTATATAACCTTGATCTGATGACTTTGCCTGAAATGTTCCATAGCAGATTTGTAATAACTATTCAATAACTTCCCATAGGGTAAGTTATATTAATCGTCCAAAAATGGAAAATGATAATGCATATCTACACGTTTTACAGTTTTCTGAACATTTTGGCAAAGTTTGGAACAAAATTATGTGTATGTGCGTTTTGTGTGGATACAATTTTTTGTACACGATTTTTTGCACACGGAAATTTAAAATATTCAAAAAATAATTTATTCCTACTTATAGGAAGACGTGCTGATTTATTTTTGACAAAGACAGGCGAGGCCGTTTTTAAAATAATGAAATAAATGAGCAAAAATGGTAGTTTTTGAGAGAAAAAAGCATTCGATTTGAATGATTCAAAGAACATTTTGCTAAAAATGTAAATTTATTTCAAAATATTTATATATATATATATATATATATATATATATATATATATATATATATATATATATTTGAATACCGAAATGATTGAGATTAATTCTAGATAAAATTCTAAAATACACTTATATACGCCGAATAAGTAAATTTAGCCTTCAAATTAGTTATTAGCTCATATATTATGACCATAAAATACAATCCTCGGATGTGTCATTACGGTACTGTAGTACAGAAGTTACAGCAATTTGCCTTAAGACACGATGCCATGCACAACTAGTAAACTTCCCGTAGGGTAAGTCATTGTAATCGTTCAAAAATCGAAATTAAAATTTTTTACATTTTTTCACGTTTTGAAGGTTTCTGAACATTTAGGCATACCTCAGAAAAAATGGATGCGTGTGTGTATCGTCCACATTTTTAGGCACACGAATCGACCGATTTAAATGGTTCAAAAAACATTCGATTCCTATTGATATAGAGATGTGCTGATTAGTTTCTGACAAAAGCATGTCCAGCGATTTCGGAGATACAGAGCTAAATGTGCAAAAAATCGCAGTTTTTAAGAGAACTAAGCGTCCGAATTGAATGATTCAAAGAACTTTCTGCTTGTTTTAACAAAATTATTGCTTTTGGAAAAAAATAGTTTCAATTTTTTCTTTCAAACTTTCTATTTTTTTTAAATAGTTTTTTTTGTATATCGAAAATAATTCAGATTTTAATTGTAATTTTGACTTAATTTCTAATATACTTTAAACAAATATTTTCAACTTTGCAATTCAGTTTATATTATAAATATTAGACAATGTTATAGTATTTATTCATAATAATCTATTTGAAAATATTTAATATTCCTCGAACATTTTGTTACGGTACGGGAAGTTCCAGCAATTTGCCTTAAGGCACAATGCCATGCACCACTAGTTTCATTTATCTCTTGCAAAATCTCTACAAAGCATAATAAATACTCCAACCTATTCCATAAATTTCAAATATACATCAAATAATCGCTTGATATATTCATATTTATATTTTTCCATAAACTTTAACTAATATTTATACGGAATAGAAACCATCGTTTCGCGTACATAAAAGAATACAACATATAAACACGCATAATAAAGACTCATAACATGCATGACCTGGCTTTTATATATTTTTATATATTTTTATCTTGTAAAAAAATAATGCTTTTCTGTCGTAATTTATTTCTCTTGTGTTCGGTGCATTTAGATTCATAAACTATGTACATATTTTACAGAACTACCCCACCATGTTTTTAATAAAGAAAACTGCATGCTGTAACTACTGATTTTCACCTTTTGTGTCCAGGTTAATAACAACTTGATTAAATTTTATCAGGGGTCTTCCGACTGGGTCAGTTTCATATATTTCTTGTTAAGGTTCGTTTTGTTTTGTAATTAAATTAGTGCAATTAGGTGGTAAGATTTATTATTGGTATAATAAAATATAAAACTAGTGGTGAATGGCATCGTGCTTAAAACAAATTGCTGAAACTTCCCGTACCGTAACGAAATGTTCGAGGAATTTTAAGTGTTTTCAAATAGATTATTATAAATACTGTAACATTGTCGAATATTTATAAGAATTATATAAACTGAATCACAATGTCAAAAATATTTATTTAAAATTTATGAGCTTTAAAACTTTAGCCAGAATTAAAATTAAAATCTGAATTATTTTTGATAAAAAAAAAGAATTGAATTTTTTTTTTCTCAAAAGCAGTTGTTCTGTCAACACAAGCAGAAAGTTTTTTGAATCATTCAAATCTGATGCTCAATCTCTCAAATCTGCCATTTTTTCTACATTTAGCTCCGTATCTTTGAAATGGCTAGACTTGCCTTTGCCAAAAACTAACCACCACTTCTCCCGATCATTACAAATTGAATGTTTTTTGGATCATTCACATGAGATCTCAAAAACTCGATTTCTATTTTCTGCACTCTTTGCTCCATATCTCCTTAACGGCTGGACCTGTCTTAGCCAAAATCTAATCAGCACATCTCCCTATCATTAATAATCGAATGTTTTTGGAACCATTCAAATCGGTTGATCCGTGCGCCCGAAAACGTGGACGAAAAATTGCGGACACATAAAACACACACACACATATCCATTTTTTCGAAGGTATGCCAAAATGTTCAGAAACCTCTGAAACGTGAAAATATGCAAAAAGTATCATTTTTGATTTTTGGCCCATTACTATAACTTGCCCTACGGGAAGTTAATAAATCATAATTTATTTGAAAAAGTTTTAAAACTTAAAATACTATTTTACTTTCACGTTTCAGAAGGATACGCTTATATTTTTGCAAGAAAATACTATTTGCTTAATTTTTGTCGTTTCATGCCATTCCAAATCGTTTGACGCAAAAAAATAATTGTGTATGTGAACTAAAATTTGACTTTTTTTGGACGTTTTCCCAAAAACGGCTACAGCGATACTAAAAATTTGATAAAACTCGACAAGAACGAGTCTTAGTTTTGCCACACAATCGGCCGAGCCGTTTCTTTTAGCCCATAATTTTTTAACGATTTTGAAAATTCAAAAGCTGTTTGATAGATATTGGTTGGGAATCGTGTCGATTAGTTTTTGGTAAAGAACAGTCGGACAGTTTCTTCGTATATTAAATGTAATTAACGCTTTCCACTCGGATGCTTCCGCTCTGGCGCCAAATACATATGAATTTCGAAATTTGCAAGTGGGAAGGGTTAAAATTTATATAACGATAGATTTTATAATCTGATATAGCATACTAAAACATACTAAAATATTATAGACTAACGATTTCGCTGCGAGCTTAAGCAATTCTAATCAGAATCTTTGTTTTCTGTGCATATGTTCCGTGTTTTGTACGTAGCTACTGATTACAGTTGACGTCTGTACTTGTAAAAAATACATTTTTAGAATCCAAAAACATGAAATGGAATGTGTAAAATAAGTTAATTAATTTGTACAATTTTAGATATTATAAATATATTTGAAAGACATCACATGGAAATTGTATTGATTATTTTTCAGTAAAAGGGAAAACGTTATTTTCGAACTAAACAATTCAAAATTGTATTCTGAGAAATGAACTATGAGAATAAACCATGAAATTGTGAAGAGATGAAAATAATAAAAATATGAATAATCTAAATTTTTCTCTTCATCTTCATTAATATTTCTACCAAACTATGCCCCGAAATGAGTTTTTCGAGTGAGCTCGACGCCAAAACCGATCCCACTTCATCAACTTAAAAAGAATATGTTAACGCGTCAGAAATCTTGAGGCAAATCTAATTTGCAAAACAAAATCCGAAAGCTCGGCGCGGAGCTTTTATTCAAAGGTCGCCTCCGTAATTGGATCTAATGAACTCCGGGCTTTCATCCCCTTCCGGACTTTTACAACCCGGTTGTAATTAAAAACGTGTGTGCAGGTGCATGCGTTTTTAGCTATTCGTAATAAAATATTGTTTGTTCGGTATTAAATCTTCGATGTGTGTGCGAAATTATTAAGTGCCAGTAAATATTTGTTCGTTTAATTAGCGGGAGATTTATTGCGGATAATGATGTTTTGGGAATTAGCGCAGTTAAATAATATATAGTCGAAAATTATGAAAAACGTATGCAGTCGTTAAAATGGTAATAAATAAAATGGTAAAACATAAAATGATAAATTTAATTAAAAAAATTATGTGTGTGTACAGGATGTGTCATAACTCAACGTCAGCCGATACAGGGTTCTGGAAAAAAAATCTGTTTGAAAATTGTGCAACAAAGAGCTTTGGTGAAACTGTAACCATTTTTCGGTCATTGTGATTAACTTTGTTTATTTGAACCTTAGATCCGCAATCTCTTCTACTTATTCGATTGACTCAAGTTTTGACAAGTTAAGACTTTTTATTGGACTATGAGTTTAAAGTTTTCAAAATTGGTTTCAAAAAACTCTAGTCACCTCTTGACGTTGAGTTCTGGGACAATCTGTATATTAGAGTATTTGATTTGTATATGTTGTGCTGATTATTTTTTCTATTTTAGAACATCGTGGTATAGTTTCTCCAAGCATAGTAGAACACACGTCGTCAGTCCAGGTGGCGCAGGATGAAGGTGCCGTTTTACTCTGCGTGGCCCAAGGGTGCCCAACACCTGAATACAGGTATGAAGTAGTAATTCGTTTTCAAATTAAACAAGATATAATTTGAATTTTGTCTTGAGGCAAGTGCTATGAACTACACGATATGTGCTATTATCGACTTTCTACCAAAATCAAAATTTAGCTAGAACCAAAACAGTCTTCTGGTTGGAATCAAACTAGAACGAAATTAGACTCAAGTGGGACGCAAGTTAGCTAGTAGTAAGAACCTGCTCAGAGTCAAATAAGAATCTAGCATGCGACTTGTTGGAATCCAGTTAGAACCTAGTTAGATCAAGAACAAAAATATAATAGTCAGGCTCCAACCAAAATCAAATTTTAATTTAGTTACAATTCAGTCAGAATACAAACAGAATCAAATAGGAATAGAGTAGCAATTTAGGGACCGATTGTGCCATGAAATAAACCAATGTCATGGTAAGGATATGTTATGTAGCAGTTTTCATATAAAGTGGTACTAAGAACTAAGAACTGTCAAAGTCCCATGTGCTTGCTGTGCAGTCAGTCGTTTTAGATAGAAAACCTAACCTTGAAAACACATAAATGTCAAAAAACAATGATATCATAACTGCATCTTTGAGATATGGCACGATAACATATGAGTGAAGTTGTATTTAAAGTGTAAAACACCTGAACGCACAGCAAAAATGTGGTATTTTGAAAGTACTTAGTAGCATTTTGTATGAAGCCTCGAAATTAATACAGCCTTGGTATAATATTGGTCTATTTTGCGGCTGAATCGGCCCAATAGTTAGAACCCTAGCAATATTGAGTAAGAATCTAGTTGAGATTCGTTTAAAATTGAATTAGTATCTGGTTTGGTTACAATATCGTTAGTATTGGGTCGGTAGAAGTTAGAAGTCAGATCGGTAGATGTTAGAAGTTAGATCGGTAGAAGTTAGGGTCATTAGTCACTTGAATCTGGTTGGAATCCTATCAGGATGAAACTGGAATTGTGGTAGACTCAAATTAGAATATTGTGACAATCTGGAGTAGATCCACTATTGCTGTTGAAATAAAGTTAAATGCCATGCATTTAAAAAAATGCTTTAAGTTTACAAGGTAATGATTCACATATTAAAACTTTACACCTATATATTATACAATTGTACAGTCGGCAATAATACGAATGATTAGTATATATTGTTTTCTTAAAGAATTTTGTGCCAGATACATTTACCAAAAAGATTTGAAGTAATATTTCAATATATAATCAATATAATCACTCATATAATCAATTCATATTGCTGTTGAAATAAAGTTAAATGCCATGCATTTAAAAAAATGCTTTAAGTTTACAAGGTAATGATTCACATATTAAAACTTTACACCTATATATTATACAATGTACAGTCGGCAATAATACGAATGATTAGTATATATTGTTTTCTTAAAGAATTTTGTGCCAGATACATTTACCAAAAAGATTTGAAGTATTTTTTCAATATATATTAGGACTTTTTATTAACCTAACTAAAATCTTTTAAAGGTTTTAAAATATTGTTTTTACATCTTAAAGCTTCTCATCAATCTATTATCCAATTGTGGAATCGATTTCCAGAAGCAATTACCAGTTCTTGATCACTTCTCGGACGATTCGTCAGTTATTTGCGTTTATATCATCCAAGTGAACTAAATCCAATACACTCCGAAACGCGGTAATGCAATTTATAATTACTTGAGCAGTTTCGATAAAATAGACGGACAGCTGATCAATGTTTTGCTAAAATCAGAAAATATCAATGTCAGATAATTCATAAGCAACGAAGAACGTAAATGTTCTTAGGTGTTAAAGTTCCAATTCAAAGAAGCGCTACCACCAACATTTGGATATGAAAAAAATTGCATATGATATCTGGACTTAGATGACGCCAGATGACATGTAAATTTAGTGCAACAAGTTTACATTTGATTTTTATATTTGTCTAGTAAGTTTTTAATTTGTATTTGCACAATTTTTAGAAAAAGTAGAATCTCCTGCGTGCACTGTATTTTAAGATCGCAAGTTTTGTTTGAAATATTATATATAATAATAACAAATTACTGAATTTATCTATTCATAACCAAGTCTGGATTTTGATTCAAATTTCTTTGTTCTGACGTATTTTCATTTTATTATATGGCCCGAAGGTGACAATCTTCATGGCATTGAGCTTTTACACGAGATGGTCTACGCCGGCTAGAGGTGGTAGCGGAGAGTTTTGGTACTTATTGTTCACTTCTAAAAGAAAAGTCCGCGCAAGAAAATGTTTAATAAATAATAAATAAATATATCTTCTTTTATAATAACTTAGTGACAAATTAGTGATCGTAATAAGAACTGCAACAAATACATTCTTAACTAAACTCTTGAATAAAAATAAATGCAATTTGAATATTTTTTTTACTTGGCCCTGTTCTATGTTTGTTCTATGGCTCGTAAATATGCTATTAGATCCGTAGTAGGTAATCTCGTCCCACATGGCGCCAATTCTGATATATTCCTGTATATTGGTGATTATATTCTGGAATTTGATGATAGCTTTCGAAATATCAAGAATATTGCTTGCTCTTGCCCTTAATGAATCTGGTTTATATATTGCTATTTCTCGGTTAACCTATATTAGCTCTGGTTATATTAATATTGCATTCATGAAAGGCATATTTTAAAAAAGTCGCACTGTGCATTTAATAATAACGGAATATTTGTTTTTTCGTACTAAACTATAGCATTCATAATATTTTAATATATTGTATGTTTGCTAATTCTGGAATGAAAGAATAACACGTCGTTGTTATGGCAACCCTATCTTATCCTTCTTTGTTGGTACTAAAATTGTAAAAATGCTTTTTGTATGATCAGGCTTAATTTAGAAACAAATCTAGGAGCTGTATAATCGCATAGCAAATAGATAGCATTTTCACAGTTTTCGTATGAGGAAAGAAGGATAAGATTGCAGTTGCATAGAAACGTTATGCTTTTGTGTATGTTACCGCAAAATTGGCCAGAATTCAATAGTAAAATAGTTTTACGTTGTTATTTTTTATTAAAAAAAATTTTGTGCACTCACACCCTTAATTTTTTTATCACCATCATCAAGGAAAGTGCATTATTTCGATGTACTAGATAAAGTAATCCATATAAAATTAACATGTTGCATGTATTTATTATTACATTATAAATTTGCGGCGTAGTTGAGAGGACAAAGTCGCATGAATACGAAATAAGCCAGGCGTACTACATATAGAGAGGCGGTACAGGCGTTCGAAAACTTTTATAATGGTTGTGCTCCATCATTCCAGATTAATTCGCAAAGTTCCGGACATAATATAATATTGCTTAATCTAAGTTATCCTTCAAAATGCTGCATTCCAGTTTTGATATTATTATGTATGAAAATAAACACATCATGGTGGGAAACTGACACACAGAATCATTTTTAAAAATGATGACATGTAATATGAAATAGGGAGCTCATAAAATTATTTATGAGATATAATTAAAACAAATATTTTTAAAATTTCTTAGAATCTAAACATATTTATTGATCTACATGCTTTACTCAAAAAAAATTGCTCAAAACGATAGCTAATTACTTGCTTCCACGAACTTAATTTGGATAATAAATTCCTGGTAATGTTATAAACAGTACTCACGAAGTATGGATTAAACTAGCTGTAAGTGGAATTCTGTCTTAAGGCAATTAGGGCATCGTGCCTTAAGGCAAATTGCTGGAACTTCCCGTACCAAAAATTATTTTTTTTTTAAAAACGATTAACATTTTTGAAAAAAATTAGTTTTAAAAAAATAAGATTTTTGAGAAACTATAAATTGGACAAAAAATTAGTTTTTTTTGAAAAAAAAAATTTTTTTTTTAAATTTTTTTTTTTAAAATTTTTTTTTTTGAAAAAAATTTTTTTTCTTTATTTTGACATATTGTGGAAGATCTGAACTTTTTTTTCAAAGCAATCGTACTGCTTTAACTACCTAGGGACAAAATATAAAGCGCGTAAGCGCCGCGTCGCTGTCTAACGCATAAGCATTGGTACGGAACCGATAGGAATGTTAACAAAATGTATACTTATTGTTAAAATCTCTATAAAATATCTGATAATTTGATGTGCATATGTCTAATGATCATTTTTGACCGCCAAATGGCTCATTTTTTTACTTTTTCCTCTATATCTCCGAAACCGCTGGACCTACCTTCATGAAAGTATCGATTCTTCACCTTGTCAATACAAATAAAATGTTTTTTGAATTATTAAAATCGGACGCTCCGTTCTCTTAAAAACTGAGTTACCGTTTTCGGAACTTTTTGCCCCGTATCTTCGGAACGGCTTGACCTGCCTTTGCCAAAAACTAATCAGCACGTTTCCTTATCAAAACGGATCAAATGTTTTTTGAATTATTCAAATCGGTTGATCCGGTTTCCCGAAATCGTCGACGAAAATTTGTATCCGCACATACATACACACACATACATACATACACACACACATACACACACACAACACACATACACACACACACACACATAAATCATTTTTTCGAAGGTATGCCAAAATGTTTCAGAAACCTCTGAAACGTAAAAGATATATAAAAAATTTTCATTTTCGATTTTTTGCGATTACTATAACTTGCCA